GTGTGTGTGTGTGTGTGTGTGTGTGTGTGTGTGTGTGTGTGTGTGTGTCAGTACTTTACTGTTCAGAAATTCAAACTAATTTTATTTTAAAGTGATTTGTTGTAATCTATGATCACAATTATTGAACATTTTCCTTCCTGTTGATTCAACAACAGTTTTAAAACTATCATCCAGGTATTCTGTTGCACCAAATCTCTTCTTTTTTTGTTGTAATTTTATGAGTAAATTTCCAAGCAGTTTTAACAACTATGATATATGTTTTAAAATAGCCTTGTTTTTTATTTGAATGTTAGAAATCCAACCTCTGTATTTTTTCTSTTAAGGCTCGCAGGTTTTTAATAAGCTTTACCTGTGAGCGTAGAACCCTGTTTTTTGTTTCTGTGGAAATGATACAGACACTGTTATGAAACGAGTGATGAAATTGTGATGCGACAAGGGGATCTGAWCCACCTGAGTTGGTGTTTAGTTTGAGGTGTGTCGCTCCAAACTAAAATACAACCTGATGCAGGTTTGAGGTCAGGGCCGGGTGTCACTATCTGCTAATTATTTGACCGAGGTCTGTTATCTGTGGACAGGAGGATTTTGCAGCAACTGTTTCACAAACATAGCATCCTAATAACAAGTTCATGATTTCACCCTGTTTGTAACCAGAAGATGTGTTTTTGTGTATTTATACTTTTGTCAGAGCTGCTTGTGGAAAAACTGGACAATTGAGACATCATGAGTTCAACTTTAAAATGACGACTTCTTGCAGGAGTTGGCTAAATATGAGAAAGACGGTAAATAAAAATAAAGTAGGTCTTTGTAAATGATTTAAAAAAAAGCATAAAGAAATCCAGCAGGTACTTATTGTAAAAAACTGATTTTTTAATAATAGATGTGACCCATAAACACGTCAAAAGGGGATTAATTCAAAATTTGGTCAAAAGGAAAGTTTAGATCATCGTGATATGAACTGTCTTCCTGTTTCGGATAACCCATTCATAGTTGGTTTGAATCCCACTGCTAGGTTATTCTGAGGAAACGTTGACGTCATTTCAAAGAGAAAACCTCAAACAATATTTAGATATTAGGATTTATCTGTTGGAAAGAAGAAAAGATGTGGTAACTCGCAAGGAAAATGACAAAAATATAGACATTCTGATCAAAATTATTTTGTTGGGATTGCTCAAAGTGCTTCACAAACTTCTTTATATTTGTAATATTTAATTTAAATGCCAATAAATAAGGTATTTATTCATTCCACTTTGACAAAATGCAATTGTTGCAAATGTTTTAACTGCCTATTTCTCTGCTTTGAGACTTATTCCTTGGTTTGATGTTTGGTCACGTATCATCTGCTGCCTTGAAGTTAAATTAACACTAAGATTAAATTAATATAAAGATGGCATAAAACCATCCTGGATATTTCCCGCCAAGCCAGCAGTGGTGTGGTCTGTAGGTCAGAGGTCACCACATGAGGCCTGGGGCCTTGTTTTTCTTCTAATKCTGTGAAGTTCTTCAGAGAATCTCAGAGACTTCCAGAAGCTTCTCTCTGACATCTGAGGCTGTGAGTTCAGCCAGTTTCAGCAGCTCTGACTCAGCATCTCCACATGATATATCTGAAGTGAAGACCCTTAGGGTGGGGGGCTTCTAAATGCGGAGGCATTCTGACCATGCAGCCGTGTGACACAGCAGTCTGCCCCCCTCCCTCCACTGTACCCTTACTATTCACACGAGGTGACGCACATTTTACTCCGCTTCTCGCTCCGTCTGACTGAAAGCTGGCCAGCAGCCTCCATGGCCCAAAGTTAGCGGGGCGGGTGGAAAATAAAAGGTCCAGCTGAGATCTGGATGGAACAGGCTGGAGCCAAAGAAAGAAAAAAGAGGGCTGGAAACTGATTCTCAAATCCTGCTCGTTATACGGTCCAGTAAAAATGTTCTAAGTTGATCCCATCTAAGTTGTATTTACAGTAAAACCTGATTTCTTTGAAAGTGTTTTTTTTAGAACAAGCCGACTGAGCTGCAGCGTGTTTCATCAGTCAGCTGATTTCTGTACAAAGCAGAGTTTCTTTTTCCCAACATCTTTGACGTATGAAAGAATTTCCAGTCAGTGAGAATAAAGAACATAAAGTCAGAATGTTCCCTCAGGGCCTCTGTCTTCTCACTGCTAAACTGTTTTCACTCTTTGCTGTTCTGCAGCTCTTTTTTTAAATTTGTCTGGATTGTTGGGTAGTATTGGACACGTGGTCAGTACTCCTCATGAGTCACTTGCATGTCACTGTGGTCATATTTGGTGTATTTTCTTTTTTTTTAAACCCAACGTGGTTTGATTAATGMGACACTGCAGACTCCTTGTTGTTGAACACGAGGAGGACCTGCGGTAACGGCTTTATGTTGTGTTGCATTAGTTCAAAATTTACACACTTGTAACTTTTACATTTACTTGTAGTGTTTTTTTTACTTTTTAATTCAGCAACCTGACATCATCATGTAACAACCGATTTATGGCTGCTTAAAATGTGAATAGATTCATAAAAATGAATGAATCTTATTACMGTAAAGCTGTAAGATCTGTGTTGAAATAAATTCAGTTTGATAACTTTAACTTTTGGTCACAAAAGGGTTTGTGATGACATTTTTATTTATTTCGAAGAAAAGACAGAACAGACGGCTACAGTTTGATACAAGGACAAAAACGCTGATGTTAAAAAAAAGAAACATATTTAGTTTTAAATGTCTACAATTCATTTTGTTGGGAAAAAAAGAAAATAATTGAGCTTAAAATCGAATCTGTATGTAGTGAATCATTACACCCTCTAGAATCGACGCTTTAAATTTAGTGAAATCTTWCAAGTTTAGGTATTTTTGTTCTTTTCAGGACCTCAGGCCATTTTCTGAATATGTACACCTTTTTTCATTTTCACACGTTTTGTCAGTGCCTTCCTGTCAATCAGAGGTTTTGCTGAGTRGGCAGTATTTTCTTTGTCCTTCCAGCTCCTTCTTAATCATTTACAGATCCTTCATAGGCGTTCATTGTTTAGGAAACTTTCATTACATTTTTTTCCTCATTTAGTTTTGTTCTTTTTGTATCTGACATAAAAGTTTAGACAAATGACCTCTAAACTAATAAATTCACGTTGAATTTAACTTACTTCATTYCACGACAGGTTTTCACAGCGGTACTTTCTTGTGAGTTTAACATAAATGCATTTTAATTCATAATGCCATAAGGTTTTATGACAACTACAGTTATCTTCAAACACCTTATCACCAAGACTAAACAAAGAGTCTCGAGGGACACGAGACACGAAGAACCCTCCTCAGTCCAAGAACCAAACGTCCGAGCCCAAACCTGAGCTCAGCCAGAAAACCAGAACCCATCACGATGACTTGTGCTGTAACAAAACGTCCGTGTCGTGTAATTAGTGACACAGGTTGGTGTCAGAGTCCAGCTGCTTCWTGCAGCCTGTAAACAGCTCTGTAATTATGAGACGATCAAATTCGTCACCAGAGCTGCTTGTTTGTGCACCGGGATCCAAGAGATATGAATAACCTTCAGCTACTTTTGGAAATAGTTTATTTTTACACGTTTAGTTTATGGGATTTGAAAAAGGACCTAAAATAATCAGCAAGATTTCTCACAATCCTCTTTTAGAACAACATCTTTACAAAACATTTGAAAAACACTTGTCCTAAAGAGTTTGTAATGAAGACGGAAACAATTATGACTTCAAATCTTTGGTCCAAATGTTTCCACAAGTCTTGTTTTTGCTTTGTTTATGAAAATCTGACGACCTTATTTAACCTGCCTGTTCAGCAGCCTTATTATAATTAGAAGAAAACTTGCTCAGCAGCTATTGTTGCTTTGTATTTCAGAGTCAAAAGTCCTGTAAAAGATGTGGATCTGTGTTACGTGTTGCTTCTATTTTCCCACAAGAACAACTTCTCCTTTTAAGACTCTGCATCTTGATTTTTGCCCCATTTTATTAGACTGGTTTTGTTTCCCTTATAGCAAATGAGTAGCTATTTCTTTAGAACAAGAGCTAAATTGTTGGAAACTGCAACAAGTTTTAGAAGTAAAACAAAAACGTAGACAAGAATGGCAGAAAAGCGAGAAAAACACAGACACAATGGGATGAAGTGAGCCCGAGGTGAAAAGAAGGGAGCATTAAACCGGTCTGAACCAGCTG